AGAAAAGGAGACCTGGTGGCACAATGGTTAAGCGCTTGACTGCTAACTGAAAGGTTGGCAGTTCCAACCCACCAGCCACTCCACAGGAGAAAAATGTGGCAGTCTGCTTCCACAAAGATTTACAGCCTTGGAAACCCTATGGGACAGTTCTACTCTGTCCTATTGGGTTGCTATGAGTCGGAATCAACTCGACAGCAACGACTTTAATCTTTACAGAAGCAGACTGTAACATTCTCAGCAGCTAGTGGGCTCAAGCCACCAACCTTTTGGTTAGTAGCCAAGCACATAACCATTATGCCACCAGGGCTCCTTTTAATCCTTACTGCTACCCTTGTAAGACAGCTACTATTATCCTCATTTTACAGACGAGGAAAGATACTCAACAGATAAGTAAACACGCCTAGGTCACACAGCTAAGCGGCAAAGTCTGTGCTGAACCTACAACTGTTCTGACTGCAGAGAACCACTACAACATCCGGCCTCCTCCACGTGGCTATGAGTTGTACCATGAAGCCCTGCAGTGGTGCTTTGGGACACAAATCTTTCTCAGTTCACTCACTTGGTTCTAATTTAATATTCTGAATAAGCATTATTAATAATTACACTCAGGGGATGCATTGTGATTGGAACATATAGAGATAAATAACAGTAGTAATAATTTATACTATGTCTACTTACAAAAAAGTTTAAGATAAATATTTGTTGAGAGAAAACCATACGATGATACTATATTACTCTTGCCTATATTATCATATATAATTCTTACTTAACTCTCACAATTCTTCAGCCTCATTATCATGAGGTTTGAAGAAATCACTAATTTGGCCAGTGTTACAAAGTTAATAAATAGGAGAGCTGGAGCTTAAACTCAGGTCTGATTCCAAACACCAGAATTATCCCTACCTAACCTAGCTTATTAAAAGACATACAGAAATAGACTAATGAAATAACAGCAAAAACCAAAATCAAAGAAAGAGAAGAATTATACTAAAAATTTAACAATATCACTATCAGTGCATATAAAATTTACCTTCAACCTTCCTAGCTGTCAAGAGAAATGTTTACTGAATGCATATTAAACACTAATAACTGCTGTGCTGTGTATTCAAGTGGCCCCTTAATTTTTAAATTAACTACGCTTAATATTGCTTTACAAAGGATGTCTCAACCTCATCTCTTGATGAAACACACCATTTAAGGTGAGGAATATATTTTCAAATGAGGTGTGCCATTGTATAAAATTCTGCAACATGCTTTTCTGCACTTAACAAAACTATGGACATATTTCCAGGATAATACAGACCTAAACGGTTACTAAATGCATATTAAACAGTAATTATTGTGCAAAAAATAAAACAGCATGATCTCCATTTACTGAATCAGACACTGTCTTAGTAAGATTATATGAACACATAAATGACTAGTTTTGAAATGTGCAAGCACAGATATGATGACAGATATTTTCATATACATTGCTTGTGGGAGTCTAAATTGCCACAACATTTTGGAAAGTATATTTTAAAAATAATCCAAATAACTCTTTGGCCCAGAAATCCACTTAGAAGCATTCTACAGAAAGTTCCAGTACATAAGGTACAAGTGAATTTAATGCAATACTTTTACAGCAAAAAAACTAGAAACAATCTAAACTCCCATAAACAGGGAAATGACTGAATAAGTATATCTGTACTATGAAATATGCATCCAGTTTTTAAAAATTTAGATCTACAAGCATTAAACAGGAAGTATGATTTTGTTAAGTGAAAAAAAGTATGTTGCAGTTTTATGCAATAGCATATATCATTGTTAAGCATATACACACACACTCAACTCTATATGCATATTGTATGGAAGGATACACAACAAATTGTTTAAAATGAATACATGGGAAGAGAGTAGCAAAAGGGAAGGGGGAAATTACTAACTTTCTTTATACATCTCTGCGCTGACTAATTATAATAAAACTGCCCCATAGGGTTTTTCCAAGGCTCTAAATCTTTGCAGAACCAGGCTGGCACATCTTCCTCCTGTGGAGTGGCTCGTGGGTTTGAACTGCTGACCTTTCAGTTAGCAGCCAAGCGCTTAACCACTGTGCCACCAGGGCTCCTTCAATGATAATAAGCATGTACTATATTCACTTGATAATATTTTTTAAAATTTAAGAAAACACCTACTCATAACATTTCCAACATTATTTCCACATTTACTAATAATATGGAGAACATCCTACGAAGTCAATCAAATGATCAACTTGAAAAAAAGAAATAGTATATTTTCAGTTTTTTTATAGTTTAGCTCTTTACTTATGCACTATGCCTAATGCTTTCACAACTATTATACAGCTATTTTACTCTACTCCTTAGAACATATGATGTTACTGTTCTGAACATACGATATTTACATAACAGACTCAAGATGTAAAAGGGAAAAAAAGCAACTCATTAAATATTCCTAGTGACTTAAATTCTTATCCTCATTATTTAAATTAGTAAGGTTTTTTTTCACATGCAAGACATTTTGTTAAAAACACCAAAGCCAAGATGGATTGCTTTTGTGAGTCTAATATAAAAATATTTGAGTATCTAATAAACACAAAACATTCTGCTAAACCTTAACAATATAGTAATGAACAAAAAGACAACACTGTCCCTGTCTTCATGGAGCTCAAGAATAGAATGCACTTTGATTTGCTTGCAGGCCCAGTAAAGTGGAATGCTACTTGATTTATCAGTTAGGTGGACACAAAACTTCTGCAGTTAATTTCCTAATCTAATCTAATCAAAAGGAGCACTCAATTTCCCTTCCTCAACAGCAGTGCAACCTCTGAAAATAACCCACCTACTTCTGAGATTCACTTTAAAAAAAAATCTTTTGATAAGACATTTAATGTCATACTTTTATATAAGTTAATACTGTGAATAAGGAAATAAATAACTGGATTCCTTAATGTACCAAGAGAAAGAAAAAATCTTCCAGCTAATTATGATGTTATGCTATGAGTAGGAAATAAAGTACTCCAATACTGCACCTCTGTTCATAGAAGGAAAGTACTTTAAAAAAAACTGCACTGACTACTAGAGTTAAAAGGATTACACAGTAACAGTAAAAAAATTACTAATGAAATAGTATATCTGAGATGTGCTTCAAAATAACTTCAGGGAGAGTGGGGAGCAGGTGTATATAGATGAAACAAGACTGAGCACAACTGACACTGGCTGATGGGTATACATGAAAGCTCACTGTACTATTATACTTTCTACATGTTTAAAATTTTCTAGAATAAAAAGTTTTTAAAAAGTGAACAATCTCTGATACCTCTATTTATAAATCACTGTCTGCAGCCAAGCCTGGCATTTTTAATCACATAAGAATATTTCAAGCTTTCTAAAAAAAGGGAACATCTCTCACCAGTGTTAACACAGTATTTTATTTGCTTTACCAAAAAGTTGCCTCCAACAGTAGAATATCTTACTAAGACTATACTAAGAAATTTGATACTGATAAAATTCAGTTGTAAGAGCACTCCAAATTCTGCTGCACAGTATACAACAAATATAAAGTTTAACATGAAATACAAAGAGTAAACACTTTTAACAATGTAGCGCTTCATCTCCTCAAGTGATGACCAAGTAAAAGGGCCTAAGCAGAACTTGGAAGCAAAATCTTGGAAAAGCTGGGAGGCTAGAGGGGTGGAAAATTGGATGTATTCTGCTAGGTCAAGATTGTCCTCAACAACCACATCTTAATAAAACGTAGTTGTGGTGTAGCAATGAAACGAGCAACAAACTTTGCAAGAGTTCAAATCTAGACTCTGACACTTGCTGTGGGACCACCAGGAAAGCACTTGCCCTCTTATAACCTCAATTTTATATAAAATGTAAATCCTGCCAACTCTCCCCTGAGGCTGTAAGAATGAGGACTGACAGTGCCGTGGCTGACATCATGGACTCTGAGCTACAAAGTGGTAATAAACTATCTGAATACCGGAAAAAAGGGATTAAATTGTAGCTGCATTTTAAATGGTCATGCTTTTCACCTTGGCCTAACTTTTAAGTGTAATACAGAAAACACCAGCCAGAGTGGGAAGAGGCCAGTTTGTTCGGAGGGACCATCATTAATCAGCCATACAGCAACTTCAAGCCTCAATTTTCCCACTTGTAAAGTGGGGAAAACTCAATTTAACCTCCAAGGGCTATGAAGGCTCAAACAAAAGTGTGAAGACACCTAGAACCGTGCCTGGCACACAGTAGGGTGCCAACCCTCCAAACGTGCTTGTTTCTTCCTCTTTTCTTAAATTCCATAAATGCCAAAACTTTTTTATTTCTTGATGCCACTCTGGGCTCATGTTTTTACAGGATGTCATCGGCCTTATAGGGACTCACCCAATAATGATCTCTTAAGTTACCTAACCTCTCAGACTCACTGTGAGCAAGCACAGCCCCACAGACCTCTTCCCTAGCCCGAGTCCCGAGACAGTCTACCCACATCAACAAGGACACCGGAGCCACTCCAAGATGCCTTTTGAACTCAGGGCCGGCTAAAGTCTATAGAATGGGGAATGCCACGTTTGGGACTTGTGGGTTGGAAGGCGCGCGACACGGGTGGAAAAACACCGGGGGATGGTCTGCAGCCTCGGCGACTGGCACCAAGGAGAGAGGCCTGCAGGAGATGCGATTTTGCCCAGACTGGCCGACGAGGCGGGGAAGGCGAGGCCGGAACACACCCTTCCCGCGCGCCTCGAAGGTCTCCGCTGGGGTGGAGAGGCGAAGGAGGCTCTGGCAGGGGCAGCGCTGGGGGCACCTTCCGCCCCCACACGGGAGTCCAGTCAGGCCGCGGCGACCACCGCCGACCGCCGACCCCAGGCTCGCCGCGGCCTGACAGGGCCTGCCCCTACGGCTCCGCCCGCCTGCACCCCGGCTCACCATCGTCCCCGTCCCCGCCCCTCGGAAGAACCGAGCGGAGGCCCCAGCTAGACGGCCACAGCAGAAGGTCTGCGTTACCTGGGGGGTTGCTGGTGGCTGGGCAGCTTTCCGGGCGGGAGGGGGGCGTCAGGACGAGGAAGAGGAATGCAGACGCAGAGAGAGAGGAGGCAGGGGCGGTCGGCCGAGGCCCCGCGGGTACGCGGGCTGGCCGAGGAGATGTAGACCCGGTGGCTGCAGTAGCGGTGGCGGTAGCAACTGCTCCTGAGGCTCCCTCAGGATCTTCCTCGGGCTGGCCCAAGATGGCGGCGCTCCCTGCACAGGGTTTCCTGTCACCCTCGCAATGGGCCGGACCACAAAAGAAGGGGGGAGAAGGATGCGCGCGCAGGTGGCGGAGCCCGGAAGAAGGTGGCCGAGGCTCGGCCTACTAGCCACGCCCCTTCCTTAGTCCTCCGCTTTGGACTCGTCGCGTCGCCGCGGAGGCGCAACGAGCTCGCCCTCGTGCCTGAAGGGGCGGAGAAAAGCGCTTATACGCAACCGCGGTCGCGTATACTCGTCTCCTGGAGAAGTTACTGCGCAGGTTCGCGTAGAACCTGCTGAGGTCCGTCGGGGTCTTGAGAACTAGGATTGTCACTCTGGGGACTTTTTACTATTTTTAATGCCAGCAACTGCCACTTACTGGACGTTTACCGTATGCTGGCCTCTGTGCTAAGCACGCGTTTCCTGCATTCATTCAACGTGTATTTACGGATTGCTTCGTACTTAGCGGTGAGCAAGGCAGATTAAGTCACAAACCCAGGAGGCAAGTATCCCCATTTTATCAATGGCGAAACTGATGCTCAGATCAAATCACTTGTCCAAGATTACGCAGCTAGGAAGTGGCCCTTTCTGACCTGTGTTTCACTTCTGCCCTTTTAGCCCTACTTGGGATGGGGGGCGTCTTGACAAGAGGAGGGAAATAGTGACCATTTTTCACAATTTATATACCACTCCACATCTTCCAATTTGGTCGGCTAATATTACCTTCCCAGAAAGTTTAGCGCACTTCGGTGGTGTGCCCTGGGCATTTTTGCCTTAATGGGCCCTTCCTCCGTAAAAAAAAAAAAAAGAATATATATATATATATATATATGTATATGCATATTTAAAATTATATTTTACAAGTGTGTCGATATAAAGATGAATGTATTAATAGCAAAACATTTTCTTCGACCTAAAAATTCTTTTTTTTTTTTTTTTTGCTTCTATTTTAAAAGAATGTAAAACATTTTTGTGGGCTCCTAAAAGTGTGGGACCTAAGCGCTGTGCCGAATGGATAAGCCAGCCCTGCCTCAGTCCCCTCAAGTTCAAGCTTGCTCTTGGCGTTCAAGACTTTTCATAAGCTGGTTCTGCCAGCGAGAGTTCATTGGAAAAATGTATTGCAATTTAAAAATCTCACTTTCAGAAAGACCTAGGTATGAATCCCTGCTCTGCCACACTAATGGTATGCCCTTGAGCATATCACTTGATTTCTCAGACCCTCAGTTTCTTCGTCTACAAAATAGGGATAATGATGTGTATCATATATGGCTCCTTCTGAAAATTAAATGAGATAATACATGCGAAACTCCTGGAATATAATAAGAATTAAGTAAATGGGAATGATTATTACATGATATGCTAATATAAGGTGATGCTGAAATCCTTTCCAGCCCTAGAAGTCTATGCTTCCATTCTTTAATAAGTGTAGCTTGTTTGATTGTTTTAGTCACTATCTTAGTCATCTAGTGCTGCTATAACAGAAATATCACAAGTGGATGGCTTTAACAAAGAGAAATTTATTCTCTCACAGTCTACTAGGCTACAAGTCCAAATTCAAGGCATCAGCTCCAGGGGAAAGCTTTCTCTCTCTGTTGGCTCTGGAGGAAGGTCCTTGTGATGCATCAGTCTTCCCTTGGTGTAGGAGCATCTCAACGCAGGAACCTCAGGTCCAAAGGATGCACTCTGCCCCCGGCACTGCCTAATCAGTATAACTGCCGCTAATCCATCTTATTACATCATAGTGATAGAGTTTACAACACATAAGGAAATCAGATCAGATTATGAAATGGTACACGATCATACAATACTAGGAATCATGACCCAGCCAAGTTGACAGATATTTTTGGGGGGACATAATTCAATCCATGACAGTCACATTTTAACATTTCTGAAATCAAGAAATTAGCCTGTGCTAAATAGAACAGAAAGCTATGAGCCAATTATCATTACTTGTTCAGGTATGAACTTAGATCTGGCTAGAAAGTTTCTCCTATATCCAGCTGCAACCTGAGTTGAGATCTTTCTGTATAGCTAATGGTTACTGAACACATTATGTGCCAAGAACTGTTCTAAGATGCTGGCGAGGTTGCAAGGTGGAATCATGCGTATTATTTAATTCCTATAACACTCCTGTGAAGTCAGTACCTATATTCACATCATTTTATGAATGGAAAACTGAGTCTCAGGTAAGAATTGGCAATGCTGGGACTTGAACCCAGGTACATCTGACTTCAGAGTTCCCATTCCTAGTCGCTATTCTATACTTCTTCCCTTATTTGCACTTATAGCACCGCAGCCAATTTAAATGTGGATCCCTAATTATTGCTTAAGTATGTGTCAAAGACATTATATTTTGATGCAGGATTGAAGAAAAACATTGATGTGATTGCAGATTGCTTGTCACATGTTAAGAAATGCAATTAACGACAGTAAAAATGATCAATTCTTGCAATAAGTCACTGGAAGGAAGGCCTGGCAATCCACTTCCAAAAAATCACAGCCATTGAAAACCTTATAGAGTGCACTTCTACTCTGAAACACATGGTGTCACCGTGAGTTGGAATCAACTTGATGGTAACTGATTTGGGAGGTTTTTTTTTTTTTTTTTGTAATAAGTCATAGAATATTCAAAATTAGGAGAGACTGTGGTGATCAGTCGCAGCATAATTAAGAAGAATTGTGATGGTGACAGGCTTTTTTGCTTGTTTTTTGTTCATTGCCAAACATCCATAAAGACTTCGGATTAACTTTTTCTTAAAAAGCTGTTTATATGAGAAGAGAAGTATAATAGGAATATTCATTGCAGCATTTTGTAATAGTAAAAGACTAGGGACTAAATATCTGTCACTAGAGAGCTGTCTAAGTAAACTATAGTACATTCATATTGTAGAATACTATGTAGCAGTTAAAAAGAATGAGGCACATGGGTATGTCCTGATATGTATGGAACAATCTCTAAGTTAAGAAAAATTTCTCTGCAAAGCACCACACTGGAGTCTGATATATTGTCTCTTACTTTTCCTCTGGCAATGGATCTGATCCCTATTTCTTTGGTTGAATACCAGGTGAAGTGGGTGGCTTACATTTAGAGGCCATGTTGTATGAAAAAAATATGCATCTTTGAACTTTAGAATCACACTCAGTGAGGCAAAATGACCACACTAGGATATCCACAAGGAAACTGATACCTACTGGGAAAGGAACAGATTCAGCTCTTTCATCTCATGCTTTCTCCAAGGCATGTTCTGATTTAGAAAAAGGAAGGGCAGATTCGGTATTTAAATTATTTCTTTATTGCTTTGTTTGACCTTATGTATACATTGGAAATCTTGTAAGTTAAAAGCATGTGTGATGTAATACATTTTATTAAACTGATGGTGACTCTCACCATGAAACAAACATAACATGTACTGTATAGAACTGACATTTTACCCTACTTGCAAGCTGAAAAATAAGTCTGCTACAGTTTCATGGATGCAGGCAGAAGATATGAGACTCCTGGGTCAGAGAAATAGTCTTTCTGGTTCACAGCACAGCAAGCAGCGTGAGCATCAGCATATTTATATCAGTTTCCCTTGCCTCCAAGTTCCATGGGGTTGATGTAGATGAGTCTAGATGGATGCCTGCACACACAGTGCGTTGTGTTACAGGAGAGGAACTCTGAGCTTAAGGAACCCAAATCTTTTATAATAGGCAGTAGGTATTTTGTTCTTTGCCCCAGAGGGAGATACTGTTTTTCTAAAAGATAGTCTGGAACAAAGGGCAATCAGTGCCTCTACTCACAAGATGTGCATAAACACAAGAGACCCATGAAGGATTGTTTCTCAACAAGGGCAAGATTGTATGGTATGGTATGCTGTGGTGTATATATATACATATATATACGCATATAAAAACCAAAACCAAACTGTGTGTGTATATATATATA